CCGCATCCCGCGGCGGGTCCTGCTCGCAGAGCTGGCAGGCGATCCGTTCCCCGGCCATGGTAGGGCTCTGGCGGTACGGTCGCTCCCGTCGGCTCTCGTTGGGGGAGTTGGGGCCGCTCAGGGACGCTTTCTGGAAGCGGTCAATGATGTTCTGCAGGGTCACGTTTCGCTTGAGGCCCTCCAGGCCGCGGTGGTTGAGGGAGATGACATAGCGGCACGTGGGGCACTGGAAAGCGGCAATGGGTTCAATGGACTCGCTGGAGGAGCAGCTGGACACCAGGATGCGATGGGCACAACTGAAGCAGAGGCTGTGAGCACACGGCAGCAAGAGAGGGTCTTCAAACAACTCCAGGCAGATTGGGCAGGTCAATTCCGACTCCAGTGTTTCCATCTTTAGTTAAAACGAGCCTGATTCAGCATGGAAATCCAGGGAAGCTGGCCAGTTACCTGGGAGAGAGGAGAGCAGAAAGGAGCAGCGTGAGAAAGGGGCTATTGTGGCCAGCAAAAGGAAACCCAGGAGACTCTTCTGCACCGGCTACCTTCAGGCAGGGCAGATTTGAGGACATCCAGTTCTGCAAGACCCTTGGCCTCCATGTGCCCTGACGCAGCTACCACAGCACAGCTGGACTCCCACAAACACAGCAGCTTGCTTCAAAAGATCTCCTATAAACCCGATAAAACCTCTCTCTTTCCTTCGCTAAAGTGAAGAGGAAAAGCTAATGGGTCTGGGACGTCCTGGGCAAGCAGAGAGGATTAGAGGCTCCAATGCCCTAGTCCTCTGCCAACTTTTTGAGAGCTTCTACCAGCCACCGTCTTTCAGGAGCAGGGTGGGGAAGGACGGAGAGGAAAATTACAGCCTGCAAAGTCCTGTATCCACACTGCCCTGCCTTGCACTTCAGTGGAAAAAGAAACAAAAACACGGATGTCTAAATCAACGCCAGCTGCAGGAAAACAAGGTTGTATTTTTAGATCTCGGGTGTTCGCATGTCACAACATCCCTACGTTACAAGCTGCCCCTTCACTGGGGTTCTTCCTTGCAGGGCAGAGCAGCAGCAAGCGCACACACCAGTGCTCCGCAAGTGAGCCCAGCAGCTCCCACTTCCCCGATTTGGCTCTGCTGGACCAGCGAGCAAAATTACTGGCCCCAGGGCACACAAAAAATATATAATTAACGAAAACAGCACTTTTTTTAGAGTCTCAAAGATATCATTTGAAAAATAAGGGCCACAATGGGACGTTCCCAGCAACTTCTGCAGGGAGTTGCGATCAAAGCTGAATCCCAGCAAAGTGACTGCAGGTGAGTCGGCTACGACGCAATCACCCGCGGCTTGCTCATGGCCAGACCAGTCTGCTACAGGCTGGATGGAGTTTATATCCTCCTCCAGAGCACCTGTCGGAGAGGCTATCTGAAGGAGTCTGGGGGGGAAAAGAAAAAAATACATAATAATAATTAAAAAAGGAGCATAAAGTTTAGAGAGTTTTTGTTTGTGCTGGCCATTCTTACGTTAATCTTGTTTTCCTCGCCTCCACAGCACCCCTTGGATCTGAGATAAGTCGAAGAAGCCTCAGAAACAGGGACAAGCG